AATTAAGTGAAATATAATTCTTATAAAACACTATATATTTCACTCTTTTGATAAGAGATTAAATATTCATATTTTATAACTTGCAATGTAGGTAAATTACTAAATTATCATCAACAAAATAAGATAAAAAATAGATTTATTAAGAATATTTTAATAAATTTAAAAATTAAATTATATTTTTAATATACAATTTGACTTGTATTACACTTTTTCAAAATATTAAATATAAAATTTTCCCTTCATGTGAATTTAGTTACATTCTATCTACAGTCTCCTAATAAGTTATGTGTCATATTGTAAAAGTGAGTTGTAGTTCAGACAATTGGAGATTGAAAAGCACTAGGTACACTTCTTCTAATATTCTTTTTTAAATACAATTCATGCACTTAAATCACATAGAATATAAAATTAATGTGATTGATGATTAATAATTGATATTAAATTAATATTTATAAAATTTAAAATTATGAATAACTATATTATATTTACGATATCACATGCATTTTTTTTTTTCTAGGGAAATTAGGGGAAGGGGAGAGGGAAATAAGGGGGTTTTGAATAACAATGGTATGGGTGAAACATTTATATAGGGACTACACAAATTATGCATCAAGATTCAAATCACATGCTTTTTAATCACATAAAAAGTATATAAAAAAGATTTTCTTAACTTATATCTTTAGAATAAATACATTCTTAACTTGTATTTTTATAATAAATGCATTTTTTAATTTTTTTAAAGTATAAGTTAAGTATATATGATTAATATATTTTTATTATTTGATATTAAAAAATTAATAATAATTTTACTATCAATATTGCATGTTCAAATTTAATTAATTGATTAATTACTAAAATTAAATTAAAATTTTATTTTTTATATAATGTAATAATAAAAAATACATTAATTTTTTTAATATATATCCTTAAAAAAAAGATTATAAAACAAAGATTTAAACAACGTATATTTTAAAAGCACAAGTTAAAAGAATTTTAAATATATTTTT